ATTTAAAATTTTTTATTTTTACAAGAAAAAAATTACCATAAAACTAAATTAGATTGTTAGCAAAGACTTTATTGTTTAGATTGAGTTCTAACATTACCAAAATAAAGTCGGCTGCTAATCAACATCTGGGATCTACTATGTATAACTTTCTTTCTCCATAATTCCTTTTCCCTCCGTTCACTGGAAAATTAGATTGCATTGTAGATTTTTTTTTAACGCCATAAAGTTGCATTGTAGATGTTTAGTACAGCATTTAAAAAAAGTTACTAGTAACAATTATATTAATTAGCACTTTGATTTAATCATAATTTTTTTTCGAAAAACTAGAATTTATTCAAGCTATTACCATAGCTGCAACTGCAAAGGGAAAATTAAATATCTGGGCTGTTTGGTTTTGGAAGGTTAAAACGCACTGTACTTTCAGACAAAAAAATTCGGACGCCCACAGCCACAATCCCACTCCCACCTAACCCTTTTTCATGTACTGACCCACGTGAAGACGATAAGAATCAGGCTTCTATCGACTCGGTGGAGGGAGTCACTGCAACTCACTTCATCAAGGTTTGAGGGCTCTTGGATCATACTAACTCCCCAAAAGTGTTGAAAATAATTTAGTGCACTTCATTGACTATGAAACGTAAAGATGGAGTGACCCACACATGAATTATGAAATCCATAAGGTGCATGTATTTTAAGAGTACGTTAGCAAATAATCTAATTCATGATTACCTCATTTATTTCAACAATGGATACATTGGTATATAATCGAACTCATGATTACTTCATTTATTTTAACAATGGATACATTGGTATATAATATAACTTATGATTACTTTTACGATATATTTGATTGAAAAAAATAAAAAAGAAGAGAAAATTTTTTTTTTATTTGTGTAATTGCATCAAACCAGAGATCTTTCTTCAATTTGCGTCTTCATTTCGAATAAACCTGTAAAGCCCCGAGGTGGGTCCTTGGGCCTCGGAGTAGACACTACGATAGTTAAGTCAGCAATAATTCGGTCTATCTCTAGACTAATGAAAAAAGAGTTTTAAGATGGTTTTAATTACCTTTTTGACATTGCCCCTGGGGGTATTTATAGGTTTTCGTGAGGTATTCACGTGACTTGCTTAACAAGATGATCGGAGTGTGACGTGTCCCTTAAAGAGATAAATTTAGGACTCACCACAAATTCGGGACCGAGGAATTATGTGATAAATCAAGTGTGGGGGTACCTACTGTATTTATCGTGCAGCCGTTTAACCGGAAGTACTGGATTTAATTTCATTTCGGTTATTAAGAAATTATTACAATACGTTTGAGGTTAAAGACCTCGTACTTATCCTTACAATTTGATTATTAAAAGAATTAAAAAAAAAAAGAGAAAAAAAGTTTTATTTTTATTTTTTAATTAATTTAATTATATGAATAAAGAGAAGAGACCGAACCCAAATGTACTGCTACTCTTCTCTCCCACACAACCATATAGTCATCGACCAACCGTAGCTGACTTAAAAGTCTTGGTCTTGCTCGGATGTGGTTATGTTCACATGTCATAATATTAATAATATTAAAGATTATATAATTTTTTTAATTTAATTTTAATAATAATTATTTAATAGATTAAAATTATTTTTTAAATTAATTTTAAAATATTATAATTAATTATTTAAAAATTATAAATTAATAAAATATTAATTAAACTAAATAATATTTTGACAATGTTATGGTAATATTATCACGTAAAATTATAAATTTATAATCTTACATGATACTAAACGAATATAATATAGTATTAAATGAGTAAATACATATAATATTATAGAAAAACTTATAAATGAAAAAACCTAATTATATAATAACATATTATGTGTTATGCATTTA